GAGGAGGTGAGTTTAGGGTGGAGTTGAGGTGGTGGAAGCAGATCACTCGGTGAGCTGAGGGTTCGCCGTCCAGGGAGATGTAGTATCTATGCAGTTTTTTCGGAGCAGATGGTTCTTGGCGAGAGGTTGTAGGATTAGGAAGGTGTTTGTTTCGGGTGGCATGGGGTGGGGGATTTGGCATGGTGACTTGTAGTGGTTGTGTGTCGGAGAGGGAAATGGCAACGGGTGGGTCAATCACTGGGAGGGTTGGTAAGGCAGTGAGCGGAGATCAACATGATGTGTCCTTTGTCATGTGGGGAAGGTGACATGTTGGGTGAAAGTAGATAAATTGTCCAGTAGGGTTGTTGAATTTGGATGGAAGCTGTGCAGGTGCCGTTGCGTCAAGTGCCATGTTGAGGTCACCTGTGCATTATACGACTTTAGACAGGATGAGGTCAGTGCGGTTCGTGATCGAAGAAGGAGGGATGAGGTTTAGGAGGCCGGTAGATGAGATACTGTCAGGAGGGAGGCGCTTGAAGCTAATGAATTCAAAGATGAATCTGAGGGGAGGGTTAGTTCTGTGATCTAGATGTCTGATTGGTGGATTACAGCAAAGGCCCCACCACGGCGGAGGGGCGGGGGTTTTAGTGATGTATTTAAAGCCAGGGGGGGGGATGTTTTGGTGAGGGAGAAGAAGTCATCGGCTGTTTGCCCAGGTTTCGTGGCAGAAGAAATCAAGGGATTTTTTCCAAGATAGTGTCATGGAGGATGAGGGCTTTCGTGTTGAGTGATCGGATGTTAAGGAGGGCAATATTAGTTGAGTGGGAGGGGCGTGGTGTGGTCACAGGCTGAAGAGGTAAGAGGTTGTCCAGGTTGACAGTGCAGGGAGGAATGTGAGATGGGGGGGAGGAGCGGAGAGGAGGTGGAAGGAGGTGTGTTATTATCAGTTTTTGGTGGTTGAGGGCGGTGGAATCCACTCCAAGTATTTGGGCCAGCTCTGAGCAGAGGGCAGTGGAATCCACTCCAGGTATTTGGGCCAACTCTGAGCAGAGGGCAGTGGGATCCACTCCAGGAATTTGGGCTAGCTCTGAGCAGAGGGCGGTGGAATCCACTCCAGGAATTTGGACCAGCTCTGGGAAGAGGGCAGTGGAATCCACTCCAGGTTTTTGGTACAGCTGGGATTGTAACGGACCAGTGGTGGGTGTATAATATGGAGTAATAAGTGCGCTCAGATGACATGACAGTTGTGGGACATGGCGGTTAGTCGACCAGATAGATGTTATGGATGATTTTCCGGACCGGGAGTAAACAAATCTGCGTTTGGAACCTCTATGGACATACCTCCGTGTGCGTAGAAGCCCGAGGCAATTGATGATAGACAAGCTTAGAGGAAGCGCAGAACATTTATTGAGATTAAAAAGTTGGGAGACAGAGTATCGTAACATCGTAGTGCCGCGGTAGGATGCTAGCGTTAGCACAGCGCTGGCTATGGTTGTAGACCAGCGGCGCTGAAAGTGGAGCTGTTGGCAGCCGTCAGACAGGATGAGAGGTCAGTTGCAGGCTGTCCTTTACAGCAGATGGGGGGACCGGCAGGATCGGGAGGTTTAAAGAACCAGAGTCAGGGCCCACGGGGAGGGGCAGGACGAAGAATGGGGCTGGTTATTTGATGGATGGAGCAGCGTTAGCAGGTGGGCTACAATGGCAGTTGTAGCAGGGTAGAAAACCAAAGCGTCCGTCAAAAATGGCAATCGGGTGTAACAAATATACATATATATATACAATACAGAACACAAAAGCCACAGAATAGTTAGAAAACTATAGCAGTAGAAAGTGGTCAGAAACTCTTAGATTAACACAAAGAAAGACAAGGTTTTCGGACAGAGAAGCGGTGAGCAGTCAGCGCCAGCGTCCTCTCACGCCATAGAAAAAAGGTTATAGTTGATAAATAGATTGATAGATAACACGGCAGGGTCCGTGACAGTTTGTTTTCATCTGATTTCAAATAAACAAAGTCTTGGTTTTAAGAATATTAAACTTGTTTTGCCAAATTCACATGATAAATACAACTTTTAAGCTTGTAAAGGCATAATTACAAGAGGCAACTTAACGTGACAGCAGACATAACAACAGCCGGTGTTTCTTGTGAGGGTTTCCCCGGGAAACAAACACAATACACACAAATGCGTCACAGATTATTTTGCGGTATTTGAAATCATGTACGCAGCTCGCGACGTAACTAGGAGTCTAGTGGACGGTATCAGTAGGCTACTACAAGTAAAAAATAAAAAAAATAAAAAATAAAATCTTTTTTTTAAAATTAATTACGTTGTTTATAAATTAATCTGAGGGCCGCAAAAAGAGGAGGTGGGGGCCGCATGCGGCCCGCGGGCCGCCATTTGCCCATCCCTGATTTATATAATCTATAGGACAAACAAAGAGGCCACTTGTATGCAGGCTTAAGTATTCCTTTCTGATTGAAACATTTAAGATATCTTTAATAACAATACAGTATTCACTTTTTAACCGTTTAATGATTTGTTCTTGTTTAAGTGTGATAGAAAACAGTGGCAGTACCGAGTCCATGGCTGAGGCTGAGTGGTTGGGTGATTAGGTAGACGGTGGTTGTCTGGGGAAGGTGGAGCTGGTACTGCAGAGAGCTGATACTCCCATCATCCTCAAGGAAGAAACAGCCCTTCATGTAACTGTGATGCCAGTCCTGGAAACATTTATCACATTTCTGCTTAACAACAGCCCAAGTGAATCCAAATGAACAAATATATTCTAGCAAGTAAAGTAGGAAAATAATGATTTCCCAGACCCAGTTTTTTTAAGCCCTTTGAAGTATTACAGACACAGTATATCATGTTATGCGTAGCCCAATATATTCTTGTTTAGTGTGGTCTCTGATTAGATCTTGACACAACCCCAACAAACTGTTTTGCTGCTTGACAACCAAATGCATCTATTCATTGAACGGAAACCAAAACTAATTTGCAGTTCCTATTAAAAGAGGGATTGATCTTGTGACAGGGGAAGTATATTTTGGCATGAAAAAGCAAATTAAGCAGTCAATCATTACAGTGAGGCTGCTCAATGATTAACAGAAACTGCCATTGTAATAATTACCACTCCAACCTTCAGGGGGCATATTCATTATAACACAGTTCACGTCACAACACTTGTTATACTCCTGCTGATCCAGAGGAGGGCAGGAGTGTCACACTGTGCTTCTGCTGGAGAATGAAGTAAATCTCCCTGTAGGACCTGATATGGCAAATTAGAGTCCATTTAACTTTTATAAATACAGCCTTTTCAATCTTTGGCCCACGGTCATTCCAAACCATCAAGAGGCTACTTTGGCAATATTTATGAACCCTAACATTCCTCTCATTTTGAAATCTTGTTGTTCCTTTCTCTGGCAGCACAACTGAAATGAGGTAATAAATTGAAATTGAACAGGAACATCAAAACAAGGAAGTTTTCCTTCCACTCATTGGAGACACATTAAATGAAAACACAGTTGGTGTGGACACACAGTAAGAGGGCACCGAGGGCCGAATGGGTCTGGAACAGGCTGTATTTCCTTTTAGTGGACACATAAATCACCAAGTTAAACAAAGAAAGTACAATAAATACGGAGCATTTCACTCCCTTAAAGAAAAGCCATTTCCTCAAAGTATTTATCTTGGGCTGAGGCATAAAAGATCAAACCATAACACTTCAGTGGTTTGTCCAGACAATATTAAATGAGGGAAATTGCCATGGGCACCCATCAACTGCTTAAAGACATCAGAATGAATGCCTCCATAGAGAGAGGGTCAGCCTGCAGACTAATACAGCCGCTGTCACCAGCTCCAGCCACAGCTTTGATTTACTGCAACGCAGAGGGTCACCAAACCAGACACAAAAATACTCTCACATACACACTCTCACATTTAAACCATGACTTTCACCTTTTTTATAAATCTAACCTATTTGTGAAAACAAATCCTTGGAATTAAGAATATTCCTCTCTGGTTATTTGTGTAATCATGAAGACAGATTTGCATCCCACAAGTCACACATTCACAACCACAAAAAAAAATCACTGCCTTCCCTCCACTAACCCCTCCCCCAATTATCAGCCTGTGGCAATGTAGCAGCCAATAAAGCAGAAGTTCCCTCAGAGGTAATCTCTGGACACACATTCTTTTTCCTCCGTGATGTCTGGCCCTTTCCAATCTCAACACAGTGCCTGGACCTGAGAGATGGAGCAGGAGGCTGTTATTTTTATTTAATTATTTTTCTTGCTGTAAAGCAAACCAGCCGAGGTTAAGCCAAAAAGAGTGAAAACAAAGAGCGTGGGATCAATACAGTGTATATCTTTCCACCCTGGGCTAAATGAGCCCATCACAAACACTGGGTAACATGGTCCCTGCTATCATAGAGCCTCTCACTGGACTCAACATACTAACATTTTCATGTTTATATAGTGATGCCACAATCTAGTTCATCTTACACAACATGTCACATGTCATCCAACACCATTGATAAAAGCCGAGTAATGATTTTACAGCTCTGCTTATGTTATAACTTTGTTTAAAATAATAAAGCTGTTTTCATACCCCTTTTTCCACCATATCTACTTTTTTCTGTGCCAAATGAAGGATGAAAGACAAAAAAAAGCAATAAATGAAGAGAGATGTTGTTATATTTGGTCTTTCATGGCAGGAAAAACACGAGTTTAGAAATATAGAAAGACTGGAGGGCTTAACCAAAACTCAAAACCGCTATCTTTTGCTACATTTAAAAAAATGTATAGTCAATTAATCTTACATTTAATTGACGTATGGATTTGAAATGAAGATATTTTTGGTTGTAGATCGGACTGTAGCATGAATACAAGACATACTTATAACTATGAAGGGGGGGGGGGGTTACCTGCAAGCCTGAAGGCTCTGGTATTTTGCTGGCCTTATTGGTGCTGGATGTCATAGTGATGGAGTTTGACAAGGACGACCGTCTGCTGCGAGCGGAAGAAGGACGTGAGGATGATCGGCTGTCTGAGACACACACAAACATAAACACTCACATAGTTAAATGCTGACACAAAAACAGACCCTAAATAATGCTAAATAAATCCAGATGATGCAACAGAACAGACTGACTGGCAGATAAGTACAGCCCTCCTCTCTGCAAACAGTAAACACACGTTTAAAAGAGAGATGAGGTGCGTAAGATAATGGACACTGTAATCGGTCTTCTCATAAAGTCGGTCCCAAGTTCAAGTAAAGATGGCTACTTTGCATTTAGTTGGTGAAAAAGTGTGATCTCAAGTACAAATCCCTTTTAATTAATTATGGAGACCTTTTAAATCACAAATGGCATAACAGCAACGCCTCATATCCATTATCTCGCACAACTTTTCCCCTTAAACTCTAATTGAAGCCAGAAAATATCAATTCTCGAATGAGGGGTCTGATTGTTTCCAAGCCGAAGTAATGTGATTGGTTTAAAAGCAAATTATCGCAGCAGAGAAATAAATAGACCCACTGTCATGGTATTTGTGATGGATCTATTTTGTATTGATGGCAGTATTTTAATCTAGAGGAGCGAATTGTAGCTGTTGTGTGAATGTGGACAAAGATGCAAAGAAACACGGGCCAACAAAAGCTTCAATGTGAGTTTATACTGAATGTGAGTATGTTGTTTTAGCCCTAGTGGTTACTGGCACTGAGCAACTGCAAATATTGAACTTGATATTGAAAGCAGACCAATTATCGGAGGACCATCACGACAATTCATCAATTGTTCTGTCTGTTTTCCAAAACCTGTTTGATACCTTACACCTGATGTGGTTACACCTGCAAATTAATCTGTATCTAATCAATTATTTGCATAACAAATAGCCAACAAAAACCCATCTTCCATATATTTATAACACAATTCTCAATGTTTTATGGGTTTATACTGACAAATGTTGGTGCAAATGAACAGTCAAAACAGTTTTTGAGCTCCAAGAATAACCCATTCAACATGTGCGATCACATCGCAGCTGGTGTTAGGGCCTTGTTAAAATGTAGCGGGTATAGATCAATACATGGGAGAGGCACAATAATGTGATAATCCCGACTACTATGTGGGAGCTCATTTGTTTTTGCAGCGGTGGTAGACTGGGCCCTCCTCTCGACCACCGTCTAATCCCTCATCATCTCCCCAGTGAGAAGTGGTGGAATCCTCCGAATCAATAACATGAACATGGACTGACCACTTAAATCAACCCCATCTATCTTCCCACTGTGGGCCTGTCCCTGGCTCGCTCATCCAGAATCTCTGTTCCTCCCTTTGCCCCGGAAAACTGGCAATAATTTCTACATACACCTTCAACTGGCTGACTGGGCTGTCTTCAAAAAAACTCTGTAGGTTTATCATCAACAGTTGTGGAATAGAGAAGCTGAATTGATACAAGTCCTTGTTTGTTTAAGCACATTTTTTTTGGGACAATAGTTCTAACTCCAAAACCATAGTTGAAAGGCAGCATTATTCATCAGCATATGGAGCTTTTGTCAATCTCCTAATGGCAGAAGTGATTACCCAAATCACAACGCTTTACAGTCTCCTCCTTCCAAACAAGCGGCCCTAATTGTGTGGCTATTATGATGTATGGACTGTCTTAATGAGGTGATTTGTCACAGGGGAGTGAAAAATCGATCAATAACAAGAGAGCTATTATTTATTCATCAAATCTAATCGGTGAGGCGTATTGGGGCAAGCAGTGTGTGTATGGGTGCGCAACTATGAATTGGGACCTGAAGTATACATGATGTGCTTTAGCCATTGGCTGCTACATTGGACCTGTAGATTGTGTCGCACAAATTGCCATTATGTTATGGAGTCATACACCATTAAGATATTCCATGAGTCTGCTGGATATACTTTGATCAATACCTAGACACTGAGAAGAGTAGTGTCTGGTGATGAAAACAGATTTTGTTTTATTATTATTATTAATATTAATATTTGCTTTGTATGTGTTGTTCTTTTAGTAGCCATGTCCCTTTACCTTTTTGTCATTTAATTCAGTTGGGAAATCCAGATTAGGGATGTTGATATGTAAATCAGGAAGGGAATTCTATGAGATATAGTCAGAAGTTAAATATAAAGATATTAGATTTGAATATGTCAAGAACTTAGATATAAATATGTAACAGTGTCTGTGAAAGTGTTTTGAAGTAACTTTTAAAGTAAAAAGGAATTACTTCATGTATTTAACGTAAAAAAAACACCATACTAAAATATTCAAACATATCTGTCACAATTCAGTGGTGGTCAATTTTACGATACATTATTCTGGGAAGCACCAGTACCTTTCTTAAGTGTGGTGTCTGATTCTGCCCGGGGTGTTTCTGGAGGCTGAGGGAGAGTTGCTGCTGCTGATGACACTGAGCTCTTTGGAGGGCTGTATGACTGACTGCCAAAGTTTTGTCTCTTCAGCTTGGCATTAGCCTCGAGCCTCTCCAAAGCAGCCGTCTGACACTGCTCTACAGTAGACACAAGCAATCTGCAGAACTGACAGCAAGAGGAAACCAGAAGAGAGGGGATGATACATGAGGACATTTTAAAGTAAGATGCAGGGTCAGAGATACTGTATATCTTAGATGGAGGTACAAATATGACACTAAATAGAGACAATATTGGATCAAATCCTATACTGCTTCAGTGTTTCCCCTAGGATGGAGTCATAGCAGCGATGCTAAGGCACGCGGGCCTAGCAAAATGTGAGCGCGGAGCTGCACCGCCGCTATTTGTATATAGGGGAAACACTGTGCTTTTTTTCCTTATACTACTGAATTGGACAATTGTGTTACACAGCAGTGGTAACAGCATTAGAATCAACGTTCTAGTTCAAACTTACTTCTGCATAGTCCAGTTTGCCGTCTTTGTTTATGTCAGCCATTGAGAAAATAGCATTCACCTCTTCAGTGGTCATTTTCTCACCTCTCTGGAAGATTCAACACATTTTCTTTAGTATTAACAACATTTTCTTTTTCATTTTAGCGTGAGTCAATTATAGATTTTAAGCCGTTTATGGTAAGGCAGTCTTCATAAAAAATAAAACATTATTGGGTCAATTGTAACTGAGCTAGCTCAGTTGGCTAATTATATATTATTCAATTAAATCAGTAGTTCAAATATTTGAGTGTACTCACCGTGGTAAGGGCTTTCTCCAGTTCACTGTGTGAGATGTAGCCATCACTGTTAACATCCATCTTTTTAAAGGCTCTCATTAGCTCAGTTTCTTCAGTTTTCTTCTCACTTTTAAGAATCTCAAAGAATTCATCAAAGTTCAGTTTGGAGGTTCTCGGGGTCCAGTATTTATTGAGAGTTGCGTGTGTTGGGTTTCTACCAGCCTGCTGAAGAGCTGAAAAGGATAAATTGGAAATAATATTGAAACGACAACTTAAGTATCAAAGGCTGAGGACAACCAACAATAGTACAAAGACTGTTTATGTTTTACAGCTTTCTGACATTCCTTTTAAATGATATGTATGCAATTCAAAAAATATAAAATCCCTCACAATTAGTTTCTTTAGTGCACAATGTAACAACCGTGACAACTTTGGATAAAAGCGTCTAAAAGGTAACATGTAATGTAACTACAAAATTACACTTTTACTGTTTGTGTCTCCTGAATCACCAACAGGTCACTTGGGTTTAAAAGTTACAAGAGTAATCAACCCTAAAACTACTATCTCTTTCAGCTGGAAATTGAAGCAACAATATTTGATTTCATCTACTGATAGCTTTTTCAGAGGTGTTTATCTATCTAACGTTATGCTAAGTAGTGTATTTAATATTATAAAGTTAGCTTACCACGACATAACTGCTGTTTTGAAGAGATACTTGTCAAACTTGATCTAAATACAGCTAGATATGCGGCTCTGCAATGCACGTAGAAAGCCTCCTCTTCATCAGAAGGAACAGGCGTCTCCTGGAAAGACATCTTTGGGAGAAGAGATGTCACCTTTAGCTAGCTAATTTAGCACTCTGCAGCTTGAAAACCGTAAGATAGCGAGAGATTGCAGCTAACTGCAATGCTATTAGCTTTACATTTTCATCACACCGTAAAACTCAACTGATTCCATGAAAGATATTGCGTTGAGCATTGACATTTGCCAAACACCGTTGCTATGCTATCCTGCTGTATGTTGCTAGGTAAACAATAACTCATCGGAGTTCACCTAAAACGACTCGGAAGAAACACAATTTATTTTTCACGTTCCTGCTAAAAACGAATGTCATTCTATATTAAACCATTTGATATGATACAGATACAAATAATGTTTGAAATATAAAATACGGATTTATATTGCATTTAGAGCGTTTATTGGGTTGTTTGAATCGTTTTTGCAATAAAGAGACGCGCGGAACTATATGTAGGACATTCTATGTTTTACCCGAGCTGCTTGAGTGTGACAATAGAGCCAGATGCATACATTTGAAACTACAGTTTAAATACCGTGAGTATATTTTTACTGTATTCTTTATTATATGTTGCATGATAATTAACTTTCTACATGACACCAACAACAGAGTTCTCCCTGACAAACACTTACATCACAGACTGTTGACATAAGCTTCATAGTTAGTTTTTGTCTGACTTCTGTAGTACTCTACTCCTCGACTGAGGACTGGGGGGCTTTAATTCCAAGGGTTTGCTTTGCTGTGACCCCATACATATGTTTTACATGTTTTTCTTGGCTTCAATTTCCCCCCCAAAATAACAATTTCTTTCTGGTATTGAAGTGGGAATTTCACTGAAAGTGTACCTGTTTCTTATTCATTATCATGATAATATGTAAATGAGACAAAATAGGCCTAGTGAAAGGACATTTTGCTGCATGATATTGATTATGTTTTATTGCTGAAGTTTAACACAACTTTCCTTTATTGTACCTTTATGTTATATTATAGGCATGAGCTACAGATGAAACATAACTGTTGTATCCATGCTTGGTCATAGTGCTCAGTCTATTTACATTAGTTGGCTTATTGGTTGGATTAAGAATCTCCTATCTGAAAAGGGCAATCTTAAGGTTAAATGCCTCTTTCACAGAGGACATTTTGAGTTGTCACAGTAGAAACAGCACAGGTGAAAATGAAATAGTGGCTAAATTCTATTTAGCTTCTTTGGTTTCAAGCTCCAGGTATTGTACATGCTGGCTGGCTGGAACAGTTGAATAGAACAGAGCTCTCGTTAGTGTTATAGTGACACCTGTGCTTTTCCTTAAGTCAATAATTCTGCTGTGAGAAAAGCCTATGTGGCCTTACGGCAGGTAGAATCATACTTAATTGTTTGTTCAGTAGGCAGTATGCAATACATACTGATTGAATATTGTCAGGGAATAATTTCGCCCTACATGTTTACCTTTTGCCCTCTGATGCAGCTGACCAACCTTGATCAGCCGTTATCTCCCATAAGGAGGGGCTGCCCTAGCAAGTTGTTGTTGTTACCACTTTATGACCGGGCAACTCTCGGTGAGAGATAGTTATTGTTGTGGGACACCTGGAACACATCCTTCTCAGGGTGTAGATGACCCCGAGCCATAAGCGACAACAAATGTGATCCACTGTGTCCTCAGCTGTTTAGTCTATCTATTGAAGAATGTTGATTATTACACTCTGAACTAGTTAAAACCTCGAGCTACAGGAGGGTTCTTCAGAATGGATTGTGGCATCTCTACCGTGTGGTCAAACCGTGGCCCGTGACATGTCTTGTGAATTCTCCGGCCAAAGCTCCAAATAAACCGTCATTGTTTGCCATCAAAGCTCCAGCTCTCCTCGTGTCTCTCTGAGTCCTGTTTCCAATTGCTTCAGAAGTTTCCACCACAAGTATGTAGTAATTTACTTTAATTCATACCGCGCTTATTGTCATTTTTTTTTTTTGTACTGTTCCCTGGCCAGTCAATGCAAATCTGCCAATGTACTCTAGATTGTGTAACTAAGGATGTGGTGCTTCCTACAGTGATTGAAAAGTGAATTCCCATACTTTAGATATTTATTTCATCAATTGCTTATACTGTAGGCTGCACATTATTATTTATTTTTTACTGCCAACAGTCAATATCCAGAGACCCAAAGTAGAGCACAGTGTTAAAGGGTTACAGAGAACTCCCTTTTACGAGTTGCTATATTTCAATTGCCATACTTTCCTGATGGTCATAGTGACATATCAGAATTTAATGACAGGAGACGCGGGATGACGGAGATCCATCACTGGACAAATTATCAGTGATTTACATAGCACTAAAAATAGTTGTATAAGAGTCACTTAACACAAGAACCATTTCCTTAGTCAAGGCAGACATTTGGTGTCTGGCACATCCATCAAGACAAGCATTAGTTTTTAATTTTATAGTGCTGTCACTAATGCGTTACACGAGCTCGATTTACAGTACATTCATAATACTCACTTGGTTATGTCATATTAGGGTCATTTGAGACATAGCAGTGTTTTAATTTATTGTTCATTTCAAAACAAGTTTAATTGTGCTTGGAGAGAAAAAGTGAATTTAAAAAAGATCGCCAGAACAAAAACAGATAAACTTCCAATCCATGAAACACAAAGGTATGTCAAAAAACACAAACAATTAAAATAAACTATACAATACAATAGTTAAAGAAATAGCGTTGACACCAGGGTATTTTAGATAAGCAATGATAGTTATAGGCAATTTTTTGGTCCATAACAACAATTCGGGATGAATACGTTTTTCAATGTTTGGGTCTTGGATTGTATCTGTTATTCCATGTGTTTTTTAATCGTCTTCGGCCTCATTCAGGAATCACCACCTAACTGCTTTTAATCCACTAGTAACTGATCAATTAACTGTATGATAGCCAGCCAACATATAGAACAAGTCAATATGAGTAGTTATGTGTAGACCTTTAAAAAGTCATCTATGTTCAAGGTTTCAATATTAAAAGCAGTTATGTATTTATAAAATCAAACTGTGAGAATTGAATATATATTCTTCTGAGCATGTGCCTTCCTCATTCCAAATCTCTTTTGCTTTGACCAGATTGGACTCCTTGCGATCTAAACTGGAACCATGGGTGGATGGATTCATCAAATCCAGGAAAGAGCTGGAGGAAATTCTGGTGAGAAAGACATTTTCTTTGAAATCTCTGCAATAGGCGGAAATGTCTCTGACTCTATCATATCTAGAGACTGAGAGCTGATGGGGTTTTTATTACTTACTGAATATTCACTTCTGACATGGCTTTTCCTTTCACAATACATCTGCTTTTTTTTTTAATCTTTAGCTCATTCATTTACAGCTTTCGTTTGCCTTATTCCACCATTTCTGTTTTTCTTTTCTGGTCTTTCCATTTTATCCCATTGATCCTTTATTTTTGATTTTCAGCAGAGGGCAGCAGTGAACAAGGACGTTTCTTAGATCTACAACAGACCTGAAGACTGAGCTAGAGCGACACGGAGAGCAGAGTGAGTACAATGTTGAATATGAAAGTCAGTCAGAAGGGTTCATTTTACTGACCCGCCTGGATCTGAAATACATGAACAAGTTATGAAATATATTCTGTGGTTATTTATGGCATCAAATAGAAGACACTCGTTTTGGGTTATGCTTTCTATATTACTCAACATTTTTAAATGGCATTTGTATTTGGTAATAAACCTACAACAATGTTTGAGTATCCAACAATCCTTTATTGTTTAACATTCATGTGATATTATGCTCTATGTCATCAAGATAAACACACCTACTCCACATAACTGGAATTGTATTACATTGATCAGTGAAAGGCTTTATGGCTGCATGCAAGCAGAGCTGAGGGTTGATCAATATCACAAGATTTACAGAAGATTAAAGCTCTCATGCATGTTTGAAGATGCATGTAAATATTCCACACTTACAGTATTTAATTTAAGGCCACATTGTGGGTCTGTTGGACATTTTGAACATAACGTTTGGAAATGTTATAGGGGATATGCAAGTAAAGATATGTGCAGCTTACCTTTTTGCTTATATAAAGACTGTTTTTGTTCACAATACGTTTTAATGACATCCTTGGCACCATTGCCTAAGAATGGCACCATGTAGTCAATTGACCTTATCTCTAGGTCTTTTTAGTGTTGCGAAACATTTAAGTGCCAATTGTTTGGTTGTTTTTGTGTAGTCACGAGGCCGTTTCATTTCCCAAGGACAATCCCCTCTGCTACTATTTCACCATTCGATTAGCTTCTCCCTGCATCTTCTTTGCTACTTAACATTAACAGCATCAATGGATGCCTGTTTCATTTGTCCAGACTATCGTGTGCTTTGCGACCCTTGCAGAAAAACAACATTTTGTTATGGATACACAAACAAGTCAATGAGTAGATTTCCTAGGGATAGAATTAATTTGATTATTTTAGGCACATATTATGCCGGCAGCAGAGCAATTCTTGTGATCCAATCATACAATGGTGACTTGTGGAACATGAATGGAGGGTATTGTTAGGAGGCGAGCTTGTTTTCCGATAAGGTTGTCAGAAATTATTTTAATTAGTTCCAGTAAGGGAGCTGAACATACATGATGCATTGTGGATCCACACCCAAGGAATGTCACATTTTTGTCACATGGTGGAACTGTGAAATGTATCAGTTTTGCATAAGCCTCCTTACAACAACAGACTTCACAATGTCAGGGCAGATAGATGTGGGATTGAATCGGCCCTCTATGTGCATTGAGACACACATTATACAAACTAAACAAACAAACTGTTATTCAAAGCTGCCGAAGAGTTCTGGCCTATATCAGCTGGGAGCGTGAAATCCAGACAGATGACGTTGATTGTATCTTTAAGCATGATCTTGCACTAGTGTAAAATGTTTGTTTAGAGTTGCAGCTATGGCCTTAAGGCTTTGGGCATATGTGAAACCCTTTGAACAAGGCTGTGTGCTTTATGAAGTCGTGGGAATGTACTGTGCTGTATGTGCTGGTGGTTCTCTTATCTTGAATTCCAAGGAAATCATAATGCATTATTATGTATCAAAGCTATTAATATGAAGACAAGTACAAAAAAGATTTATCATACACAATATACTATAGTGAATCACGAGAATATACAGTAGTTTTTCATAATTTCCCCACCATGGCAGAGGTTTCTTAGAGGTGCTAAGTAGTGATTGATTTATAGATCATTTGTAATGAACTGTTTTCCACTCATAGACTCAATACCCAAAGAGATGCATATTTTACACTCCCTACATACTTTATGGAAAAACCCAACTTAACGTGAGAGCTCAGAAGTTCATTTACTTAACGTATAAGCATGTGGAGCGACTGAGGCCCTTTTGTCTGTAAGTACAATTCTATCTATTATCCTTAATTCTTGAAAGAGCTCCATTAAGTCATCTTATGATGTTTTAGGAGCAGTAACGTGATTTCAAGCCCACATTACCTGAGGCATGCTGAAAGGGCACTTGGTTTGGAGGAAGGAATAGTTAAGATAAGTGAGACTCGAACCAATGGCTCTTTGATGTCCATCTTTTACCTGTTCTTCTATCCAGCACCTAGTTTTTATTTTTGGGCAAATATTTAAAATAAACACACAGATTGCACTCATTTGCAGTACATGTTTTTTCCCCTACACATGAGGAAACAATCTGTTTGTTTTAAAAAATATGTTTATCCCCTAACAAACATACAATCCATTCATAATAGGATAATGGACGATGGTAACAAATGAGAAGATTCACAATGTCAGCATCTCACCCAGAATGTCTGGTTGAACAGCAACATCTGCTTGTTAGCCTCGCAGATGGGGGTGCTGCAGCCCCCTCAGCAGTAGATCAGTAGAAATGGCCATGACATGGGACCTTTAATACTTTACATGATTTCATCTTTCATGAGTCTCACTTTAAACACAGTACATTTTGGATCCTTGAGTTTTGTCTGAACTTACAAGTATGGTTAAATACATCTTTCATGGCAGCCACCAGGAAGAGCCCTTTGCATGTTCAGCCTCCGGACCCCTGGCTCTCCTCTCTGAGGTGCCAAGCCGAGCCCCCCCATGACCTCCACCCCACCCAGGCAGCTGAGTAAATCCACAAGGACATTTTAACCTTGAAGTTCAATCCTCCAATCCTGCTTCTCCTCCGATGTCTTATTTTTCCCCTTGTACTTGCCTTGTCATCCCCTTTTTTCCACCTTATGCTGTGATAGTTAAAACTACGTTTTCCCTCAGAGTGAGAGTGCAGTTTTAAGAAGCGCTTACGACCGTCCTTTAAGGTTAACAGAAGTTTCAGTAAGCATTCTAAAGAAGTCACTCTTTGTGAGCAATCAGGCTTGAGGCGAGCATAAATCCTCTGGGTATAGTGGCGGCATTACAAATACCCAGAGCGCCTGTATGTGCTGATGACTACAAAATTGAAAAAGAAAGGCCCTAATAATTCTGAGGCAAGTTTCCCTCAGCAGTGGGTATTGATTATTTGTGTGTGGTGAGAGATTTGGAAAATTCAATTAAAGGAGTTGTGCAAAGGATTCATAAATTCAGCCCCTCCAACCCGTATCGAGACATGGTTATGTTCTAAATCAATGCTGCACTTCACAATATATTTTCTTAGGAACATAAAAATAAATAACATTTAAACAGTTCTGCTTACCGCAGAAACACATTTTATTTTCTCCAAAGCTTTTTAGTAACAGCCACGTACTGACTTGTGCACATCTTCAGGGTGGCAACATATTTTTATTGCAGTTTTATCATAAGAAAATCCTATATTATATGAATTTTGAGATGACAAAATGAGGAGAAAGGGGACGGCTCAGCAGTGTAAAAATTGATCAGGCCATAGATGGGGGCCACGATGGGGAAGATTTGTATGTCAGCAGTAATGGGCTGTATTAAAAAGATAATTCCTTAAGATGTCATAAAAGTGATGGGGCCGTGTCGCAGGTGGCGGGCCCCCGGCCCAGGCGGCTCCCAGACTCTGGCACATCAATCCTAGCTGGCCTCACGGACAGATGCCACCTACCCACCGGGAGTTTTATGCTTTCTGATTGAACACACGGTTGCAATTAAAGGGGGGAGTTGTATATTAGACTGTTTTGGTCCAAGAGAAGCCGCTGGTCTTCGATCGACACCGTGGGCTGCAGAGTTTGCAATCTTTTCAGGCGTGATTTCTGATTTAGTGATTGCATTTTATCTTGGTGTGCAACAAATCTACTTCCATGTTTCTTTGAAATATTAACATAGCAAGCAAATATATATTTCTTTATAACAAAATGTAGTTGAAGGTTGAATGAAAAATGTATTAGAATTATTAAAGGATGAGATTTAAAGATTGAAGTTGACTTTCCATTAAATTACTTCTTGCTCAAATGTGTTCAAATCTTTTGGCTTTGCATTTTTGTTTGCACTCACTTGACACTTCTGTTGCCTTAATTATCACTTAAATAATTGACATTAATATTTTTAACTACACACTTTTTAAAATATATTATATATTTTTTGGGGTTTTCTGAATATATGTGGCTTCTATATATTTCTGAAGTCCATGATGGGCTATTGTTAATTTTGAATTATTGAATTATTGAATTTATTATCAACACTGGCAGAAATTCATTTCCATGCATTTTGGTTTATGGAAAACATGCCTGGTGTGAACTCTCTTCTTTATGAACATTCAGTCCTGACAGTGATGGCACTGTATGTAATATCACTGGGTGCCAGTGGGGTTACAATCATGTTTTCCTCTCCCATATTCCCCAGGTTTTTGTTAGCGAGGCACCTCAGCTGTTGACAGCTAATAGAATTGCTCCTCACCTCTTGTGCGTATGATCCCGCGGAGATAAGGTAGGAAATAAATGTGGAATCTGTGCTGTCAGTTGAGAGGCTGAGATGTCTTGGAATCCGTCATTCATGTGCGGGAGAAGTGTCTGAAACGCTGCGAGCGAATCCTCTGACATGTTAGACCCGGTCTACTCTGCCTGGCAGCTGACAAATGTTGACTCTACATTAACCACAATGCTGCAACGCTGTGCAAATAATGTTCTTTCAGATGGCAACGCTTATCCCCTTTATGGCTGAAACTATGCGATCCTCCCCAACTGTGGAGTTTAACACCTTTGAAAAGTAAATGTGGGGGGGCAAACAGTCTTGCACAACACAGTAGCCTCTTTATTTGGCAGTGCCTGGGAAGGCCGAGGCCTCTCACTGCCCGAGTCGACCTAAGCAACAGCTGGTGTTCACAGCAACATTTCCTATTTCTGCCTAAGGTGGATCGTGTAACTCTCACTTTATCACCCTTAGAGGCCACGTGAAGGACAAAGCCAGCACGCTCATAAACAAAACTAATGTTTGGATACTGGCCCCTTTGGAGATTCATAGAAGGATCTGTGGTGCTTTTAACGGCCCCCTTACCACCAGATACATCAAAACAATCTCTTAACTATGCCAGCAGTTTTCGCAATAGATTGGGATCCAAAACTGTTACCTCTTCTTATTCCTTCTAGTAAAAATATTAATTATCTGGGGTCTCTTTGGGAGATTTTCTTCGTCCTCCATGTAGCCAATAGGGTACAGTATCTACTTCCTGTGCCTGCCTCAAGTCTGAGGGATAAGAGCCAAAGAAACGGGGGCGATGCATCCTGTAAAACTAGGCAGAGAGAGGGGGTGACACAAGCCTTAATTTCACTTTGGGAATTTTCTTCCAATACTTGATATGTTGATCAGATTATTTTATATATCTGAGTTTCCAATTACAAACCTAAACCGTCAAATCACCAAATCAGTGTTAGTGCAACCGGACAAAGTTCTTTATTGTGTATAATATTGTGAAGGTTTATTATTTTTCTTTGATGTGACTAGGAGTTTGTCACATACTATAGTGTATTCCCTTTGTTGGTCTTATTATATAGGTTTTCCTTAATTGATGTATAATATATTATAACACTATACATGCTTATTCCATTTGCCAATTATATTTTCATAATTGTATAAAGTCTATACCAAATGTCATAAAGAAGTTTCAAATTGCCTAAAGGTTTTTAACTAAAGTGTCATTTTTATCCAATCAATTGATACCCATATATATTTACATTAAAATAATTTCAAATCTTCATAATCGTAAAACCAAATAATTTAGAGTTCAGTTTACTCAAATCAGATTTCCAATTCCCCAGAAATATATAATTGAACTATTTAATCTTTCCATATTTTGCATTTCAGAATGTGGGACGATGAATTCTCATTTTCCCTTGCAGCTTCCAAATGTATTGGCATACCTTTATAAAAACATGTGTAATAAATGGCAGACCGGCGCCTTTCCCCCTCCTCTAATTGGCCCCCTGTGTCCCTGTCCCGTTGTAGTAACAGTTAACTCAGATCTTGGGCTCCTATTTGTCCCAGCGGCTCATATTGGCAGCCAGCCTAGAGCCTCAGATGCACGGGCAACCCTCACTGACCTGATAACATTTATAGTTGTAATGGATTTTTTTATGCCTGTCATTAACTAGCTCAGAGATTGGAGAAAGAAATTGCTTGTACCTTTCTTTCTGTGGTATTTCAACTTTATGGCATTATGTTCAGATATGTCACCTTCCATCATCTCTTTTTAAGGCCTCTCCCGTCACTGGCTTTGTTTTAAATGAACAGGTCTTTGGTGCAGGACCCTTGAAGTATCTTGGACTTGTAATGAATATTTAATGATGTTGAGTAAAAGCTTTGAAAGATATAATTTCTGTCCAATTATTGGCTCTGTCTCTGCCAGACTGTTAGGGGTGATTTAGCGGACTACTTGGTAAATGTAGACAGTTTATGTGAAGCTGCTCAAAAATTAAATCATTTTAACAATGGGGCAATAAAACGGATGTTCACTTTAGGTCATTGAGAAATGTTATTTATTTTCACAAAAACGAAGTTTGTACAAAAGTACTTCAATGATAGATGAAAATATACAATAGAAAAACCGTAAAGAAAAAGTTCACATGAATAATGTTTAACACTTCCTGCTAGACCGGAGTCCAGTCGCGCCAGGAATGTGTTTAAATCACAATACCCAGAGGAGGAACTGAGGGTAGACAAAATAAGAGAAACACCTTACAATATCATTAAGGCTAGCAACACCATGGCTTAAAGAGTTACTGGAAAATTAAACACCTTTCCCCATGTTGGTCTTTACAATTACTGAACATTACAACAGTTGTTCCTGGTATTGTGGCCATCCCCGTAGCTTAAGCATCCAGGCACAGAGCTCGCTGGAGTCAAATGGGCTGCACACGGCATGTCTATTGGTACTTGATTGATTAGCTAGCAATAGTGTTTAGTCCAATACAAAAAAATATGCAAGAGGTCCGCACAAGGGGGAATCATTTCTTGAATTAATTTGGTCCAAACTGGAAAAATATCACTACCGTCTACTTTGTACTGATATCACAGGTCCTCTGATTTTGTAGCATAGTGATTTTGAAGTCTGCAAAATCCTATTCAGTACCCTTTGTTTCTGGCTACAACAAATGATTATTTCCTTCACAATTTGTTTGCAGATTATCTACTCAATACAATATTTGGTCTACAAAAGTTCAGAAAGCTGTCACAATGTCTTAGAGCTAAAGGTGATGCCATCAAATCTCATTTGTGTCTGAGCAATAGCATCAAACCCCATAGATATTCAATTTACTATAATACAAGAGGAACTGAAAAACCACTCTCATTTGTCTGGCTGGAAATATCAAATGTTTTGCATTTTTGCTAAAAAATGACTTAATTGATCATCAAAATAGGTATCAATAATGTTTCTTATAGACCGATAATTGCAGCTCTACATTAATGCTTCTTCCACAGGGGACATTATGGCACGTTTAAATGCCTCTTAATGTAACACTGGCTTCCCTGAAGCATTTAGCAGCAGTTTGCTAAACGATATGTTGCCATGTACATCACTGCCTTAGGCATCATTCAGTTGTTCTTCTTCTGGCTCTTTCTGCTGGGCGGCTCGCTGAACTGGACAATGTTGAAATATATAAATATTCCCAAGAAGTGACTAAAAGAAGTGATAGACACCAGCACAGGAAACAAGTCAGGTAGATGTGGTGGAGGAGCCAGAGCTACAGCAGCAATGCTCAGACCGGCCATCACGGAGACGCTGACGTAGAACTGTAACACAGACAGAGAAACAGCGTGGTTATCAACCGATTCACATGAGGACAAGGACACAGGATCATAAAGTATGATGACTACAAAATGAAAGGACTAAAGAACTTCACAAAGTTAGGCCAAAATAACTGGTCAAGAGCTTTTTTAGAAACATTATTTTGACAAAATGATCTCAAATTCAGGTCTACTCATTGGCTTTTCTTAAATCTTTCAACCACATATAACTGTCATTGCTCAGATATCTTGGAGCTGGTTTAGCTTCCATCATGTAACCTTAATATGGCACCTCTGTCACATGATAAGAGGAAGTGTATATGCACTGGAGACCCCGATGCCCCTTTTTGTGTATTAACTAAATTGATATTCCAATATCAGGGTAAGAGAATACGGTTAGCTTTTCCCTTGATATTAAGTGTCACTTTATTTTATACACCAACCTCTGATTTAGTATCACTCTGCAGAATAGCCAATTTAAATTAAGGCCTACTTTTTCCTTGTAACAGAGTTGCAAACAGAACTGAGCCTGAGATCGTTCATGTGTCTATTTGAGCTTTATGAGCCAGAGATAAGTCGGTGACTAAAATGGAGGAAACACCCCATGCCCACACCTCTCCCCGCCACCCTAAACCTATGAAACCTTATCGCCCATCATCTGGGCTTGCTATTTATGCTGCTTGTGTAAATAAATATATCTAGGCAAACCTGTGTTAATGACACGCGCTATAAAAAGACACCTTCTCTTAATCTCTGACACCCTACCGGAGCCCCTGTCGCTAAGGGGCTGGCGGTGCAACCACTTCAGACGCTGTGGAAACTTAAATAAGTGATAAATAATTCCTGGGGCTGTCAGTGGCTTTCATCCCTGGACAGCTTACACAACTTACAGCGGCACATGATCTTTATTTATACAGTTGGGTATATCTTCTCACACGGCTGCAATTTAGATCTAGTGCTGCTTTCAAAGTACGGGCAACCTGGGACCCTGAAATCAGCCCCTTCTAATTACAAATGCATCAGCTGTGAATCCTCTCCCCCGTGCACAAGCGCAAATATGAACTATAAACTTAATCAAGCAGCAGTATCTTAACTTTTGTATTGTTTATTGAGAATGATCTTGGTCAGAATAAAAACCTTTTAAACTTAAAGCCCCTGTATGTAGGATCAGAACATTTGTGATTCTGGTGACTCCTAGTGGCACATTCAACATAGACACTAGTCGAGAGAAACTCATACCAACTGATCTGTGGTCATACCAACTTTAAACTGGGATTGTCTAATGTTTCAACAAACTAATTGCACAAGATGTCCATCATGAAGATGCAATAACCACATTTTACAAACTGGTGCGCAATCAGTTTGATGTGGTATTAAGTCATTTGCATGTCATTGATTGTATTGGCAGTTAATTAGAACTGCCACAACCACCATGACAGTTGTTACCTCCTCCTGTACAAATCTCTGGGACACTAGATTGCCACCTCTGTAGCTTGACCTACAACATTTACCTGTTACAAACCGGGAAAATAAATGTACACTTACTTTGTCCCCTGAAAGTACAATATTTTGTTAACTTAAGCATGACTGGGGACACACCATTGGGGAAAATGGTGTAATAACTTATTTTTCCCTACTAAATATACCTTCTACATTTTTAAACGAAGCAATGCTACTCAGATTGTTCAAGATATTTAATTGTTCCACATTAAAATGTCTAAGAATGACTAAATCAACCGTTATATAAAATTTGGTTTTGGTTTGCTTTCGTTTTTATTGAGAGACCCCTATGTTGTTGCAACATTGCATGTTTTGCATTTAAATTGAACAGAATCAGTGATGATGATGCAGTGTTTGTTATTACACGGGGGGGTGGGGTTTGCCCCATACTGACCTTCCATCTTACAATCCATGCTAGGTCCAGTTTGGGTAGGCAGAACAGCAGCTTGTGGTAGGCTCCCAGTCTCAGCTCTTCCTCTGAGCAGCGCTCCAGTGCAGACAGCAGATAGATGCTGAAGTACAGGAAGCCCAGCGAGGTCACAACAAAGGGCACCAGCAGACCGTCCTTCAGAAACAGAGGCAGCATGCTGCACAGAGGGAAAATTGTGCATTTCAAGTTTAGAACGTCTGGAGTTATGTACAATGACTCTGCAAAGTGAAGCTTTGATATACACTTCTACAATGGTATATTCAAGTAATTTCTTTACTTCCAGCAGTACATCACTATGTTCAGTATCATGTTTGCTTCGAAAAGGGCAAGAGTAAACCACATAGCTTTTTTCCAGCAGGCCTGCACAAACAGTCAGTCCCCTGGGATGAGATGGCTCTGACATTCGTGCAAAGCTTATCTTAGTTTAGCAGAAGGGCACGGACAAGAACAACAGTTGTCTTATAGTACATCGCACATCACCCTGGCTTTATTAAAACTCATTCACTGAAAACAAACTGCTCATTCTGGTTTTTAATACGACAAAAAAAATGGCACAATTCATCAGATAAATGTTTAACAATTTGGAAATACATACTTGGTCAATTTATTGAGACAAGCTGCTTTATTTCCTCTTACAATTGCTATAGCTGAACATCCATTAAGCCAATTACGCCAACAAAAGCTGTATTTCTTTAAATGGAGTCTGTAGAGGATGTGGATAATGTGAAAGTCCCAGTCAGACTGTACTGAGTAGCAGAGACAGAATGACCTCCTGTCCCTACACAACGCACACTTAGAAGGCAGGCATGCAGACTATGCCGTGTAATCCCCAGATATCCTTATACTAAACCACACACACAACAATTAGTGCTGCCGGAAGAATTTAACAACAGCTGGTGAAAGTTAGACAGAGCGTTTGCAGCACAACTTGGCTTTTCCATTCACGGTCCTCATCTCAACCCACACAGTAGATCAATATCACTTTTCAAGCTTATTTCTACGGTGTTCTTCATTTGATATTTGACACTAGTGAGAAATAAAGAGAGATGTAAGACTCCATCCGTAAACATTACAGTTTTGCTGAACAGTATTGAATAAGAGTCAATTAGAAAAAAAGTTAATGTAACATTGGCACATTTAAAGATTTATAGAATTACTGACCTTACTCAGTGGTGTCAATTATAAAGCAATATGTAGCTTAATTTAGCAAACATTAGCTAAAAAAGTTGTGCAAGCTCCAATAAAACAAATTCTTTTGACAGTACTTTTCTTCTTAAATATTTGTATCTTCACATAATCAAACACCATATAATGACCAGGGGCCGTATTCACTAAGCATTTTATCTTACCGCTAGGAGTGCTCCAAACTCGCGCTAAAACATTTTACGTAGGAGTTTCTTCTTAAAAGTTATTCACAAAGCCGCTGAGACCTACTCATACTAAGGATAAATCACTAAGAGTGAACTAAGAGTGACGCGCCGTTGCTATGGATTACGTCGATTCTCGTGCATGAGTTTAGAAGCGGTCAGTACGGTGATTGGTTGTTCAGTGCAGGCGGTCTCGGTGAAACTCATCCGCAACATCCCACAAACGAGCCCACTAAATCACCGAAAAACAAGGAAATAGCCTAGGCTAGAAATGTATTCCTATCAAATAGTTATGGACAGTGCAGTTAGCAGAATACACGCATGATGACAAGTTTGTGCAGACCACGATAATGACGTTGTATATGCACGTTAAAGAGAGAGAGCAAACAATAAAAATACGTAAATTGCATTAAATCAAGGAGGCAATTAAAAGCACCCTGCAAACTATTATCCAATGAGCATATTTCCAGCACTTAAACACTTTCAATAACAGCCCATACCGCCGTTCAAGTCCCCCTATCATGATGAATGAAAACAGTCTGCGTGTTGATGGAATGTACTTTCTTTCTATTGACGAACACGTCCTCATCTTTTGATGGCGCAATTATTTTTATGTGCGTCCCGTCAATAGCACCGACCGCACCGGGCATACCTGCAATTGCCATGAAGTTGGCTTTGATCCTGTGCAGTTGTTGATTGTCCAAAGGAAACCGGATAAACTGTTGGATGATATGTGGTCTAGAGAGCGCGCTGATGGTTTGGTTTATGGCACGGCTGACTGATGGTTGCGATATTCCTAAATCGTCGGCATTGCAAAGTTGCATTTTCCCTGTTGCTAAATATCGTAGTGTTGCCAAACATTTTATTTCCGGACTAATCGGGTTATTCCTGTTAGTCGGGGATGTTATTGCATCCCGCACTAATTTCACAACAAGTTTGATACCCTCACGATTTAGCCTATATCTCTTGATCAATTCACAGTCTTCCATTGTCTCCAAAACATTTCGTCTCGCAGTCATTTTCAGATTCTTTGTGAATAGGTCTTACTGAGTTAGGAGTCCTCTCGAGGACTTTTAAGCTCTCCTAAACTTAGGTGCTACTTTTAGGCCTAAAATACTTTGTGAATTGCTCTTAGTGAATAAAATTAGGAGTCCTAAATTTAAGACTGACACGCCCATTATGTTTAGGAGTTTCTCCTAAATTCGCCAGTTAGGAGCTACTTTTAGCCCTAAGATCCTTTGTGAATACGGCCCCTGGTATTTAGCTAACTCTAAAAGGTGATAGGTACCTTTGGACAGATTCAGGAAAACCGTTTCCCTTTGCTAACCTGGTGATGCTAATCTAGCTAGCAATGGCTTCTTTATTGATTATAAAAATAACAACAACATATACATCATATAAAACATCTTTATTAATGGCTTGAAATAAAGTTTAACACTAATTAGGTTTGTAAAGGTCCAATGCAAAAGCACAACATATTAAATGTTCATTCTTTTAGCTTATGCAAGGTTTAAAAGCTCCATAAATGACCTCTGATTTAAAGAATAGACAATAATTAGCTTGAATCCATCTACTACCTATCGTGTGTAGACCATCTGTTGTGCTTTGAAAGGAGGCTTTTCTCCACACAGTCTTACCTGAATGTAGAGGCATGCAGGAACCAAATAGCCATCAAGGGGAGGTCATCCAGCAGGAGGCAGGCAGGCCTAGAACAGATAACGGTTGCATAAACTCCCTGTTGAACACACTCTGCAGTAAGCACCATTTAATATCATGTTACAGTTCGACAGGAAATTAGGCCATGTTAGGTCGCAGCTGGATGTGAACCGATGTCATTCGTGTATTATATTAAAGCAACTGACATCCACATTAATCCATTATTCACAGTCACAAGGCAGTAAAGTGTTGGTTGTAGCACAATTATGTTTATCTATAAATGCTTTTTACTGAATCTGCACTGGCATGTATGTGTATACAAAAATACAACTTAATTACTTATATAACATTTCAACATGAAATACCTAAAATGAGTTGCAAAGAAGTTGAAGTTATCTCTTCTGGGCACATATATATGTGTCTGTGTAGCAAAGGCCTGTTGTGTGTTGAACCTGGTTGCCTGCGTCATTGTGAGCCAGTGCTAGCTGAACACTGTGCTCCGAGGGGGGCACTTTCCTTCGGCCCCTGAGCCCATAATTACAGCCAGTGCTCTTTGGCGATCCTGTTACAGCCCAATAATTGATCCTGCGCAAACAACGCCCTGAGCTGCTGCCTGCCATTCTTTCCTAATCCCTGGACATGCATTACTGATTGATTCAGGGGGACAGGTGGGAGATATAACTCAATAGTTAATAAAGAAACAATCTACCCTAATCTAGATTAATAGATGAGGCCAGATCATGGAACCAAATCCCTAGCTCAAGTCAAATCTATGCCACTTCACTCTGTACCTACACAGCTCTAAACATATGTGGGTACATTTTAATGAATCGCACACATGCACATCTTTATGCTCATGTATGAAAGCAGTGCTTTTACTCACATTAAGGACAATGGAAGCTGAGAGGCTGCTTTTGTGTCTGTGTGGTGCAGAGTATTATGACAGAGGTGAGTAAGCCCTCAGTAGCAAGTCTGTACTTAAATAGATTTTTCCTCTGCAACTGTGTGAGAACAGAAGGAGGGCGATGTCATTTTTACAAAGTGCGCACGTCTTCAACTCATTAACAATCTGCAGGACATAAACTGAGATCTGAAACGGGGTAACAGGCGAATGGCTCCTTGAGAGCAGAAATTAAATCTATACTCATGAATATTTGAGGTATTGCTACAAGATAGAAAAAGTACAATTACTGTTTGTTACCACAGCTGCTGTGCTGTTGCATGTGGTGAAATATTACCTCTGTACTTACAAAGCAGCTAAGAGGATAGACTTCTCGTGGACTTGATAGGAGAAGAGGAAGAACGCCAGAGAGGAATTAGCCTAAAAAGGGAAGATCCGAGGGTGTTGGTTCAAAAACGGCTGTTAATGAACAATAATACAGCAAAGCATACTTTTGAATAAAGGCAGTGAAGGTAAGAAAACAAATCATGGATAAAGGGAGGTATCAATTAACGTTATGTAGTAATTATTATAAAGGAGATGAAGTGCAGAAAGTCTTAAACTTGTAATAATGAAATAACTAATATTTTAGTCTCTATATGACCATTAAATAAACAGTTTGAGGACATGCGTTTTGACGTCAGTTAGATGTCACTCACCAATGCCAGTTTAAACTGCCAGAAGGTGGGCTTCGTCAGAAGTCTTACGCAGGAAGGCAAGACCGCCAGAAGAGTGCAGGCAAAACTGAAAAACATTACAAACAATGGTTCAGATTAAATCACATCAGCACTGTTGAAACATGCATAAACACATCTGAAAACCCACAGAGGGAGATAAAGTCTCTTCAGCAAGAAAAACTAATTGTTCAACAGAAGACATGTAGAGTATTTAATTGAATTGCTGTCAATATGAAATAATTCCAGGCTTACACAAATTATACATCTTTCTTTTGTTTAGTTTTTTTGACGTTGCTGATAATGTTCAGAGAACTGAAAAATAAACCTCTATTTTGCCAGAATGATAAAACACACAATTTGTTTCCACTCAGTGGCACTAGATCAGGGGTGGGGAACCTCCGGCTTCCAGGCCGTATACGGTCCGCGAGACCATTTGGTACGGCCCTTGAGCTAAGCAAAAACAAAAAAAATTAAAGAAATCTAGACCGCAAAATAATTAAACAAGCAAGTTCCGGTTTTTCCTGGCCAAGGTCAGGTTCACAACACGAGCCTAACGTGTCATCACGTGGTATATGTCTCGTCTGACAGGGGTGTTGTAGTGCTGACGGAGAGCACCGAAACGCCGCTCCGGCACTTCAAAAATTGCAGTAGGGGCCCACGGAGGTTCTTATTATATATCCATGATAAGGAGCCATACACATGCTGCAGTTTTTGCGTGGCTGTCTTTAGTTGTAAACCCAGTGGCGATCTGTTCATCTGTCATACTGATCATACAGTCAATAACGCCATCGATTAGAATATGATACATTACAGTACAAGTACTTCTGGGTCTTTGTGTGTCATTCAAGCTCGGCTCTGTGTGTGTAGCATGAGCGCATTTTGTTTGTTTGAGCGAGAGAGAGAGAGCGGTACCAGGGAAATTAGCATCTGGTTAGCTAGCTATGCTAACGAATATATAAGGAGATTTTTCTACAACCAGGTGGAAGAGAGCTCTCTCCTGACAGACTGAGAGGCTGATAACCTCAGCTCAGTGTGGTAAAGGCACACCTTTATGATCATTATAGTTATAAAAAAACAAGAGAATAAATGAAAAACAGGTATAAAATACTATATGGCAGTAAAAAAAGTTGTTATTAATAAACAAGAATACAGTTTAAAAGGGGAGTGATTTGTAAAATATCCATAAAGAAAAAGGAAATCTGCTTACAGTTCTGTTTCATATGGGTGTTGAGAGATATATCCATAGATCTCTTAATTTTGGTCTTTAATGGCGCATTTCCACTATAGGGCCTCGCTCGGTATGGCAAGGCCTCGTTAAGGCCGCGACAGACCAAAGAACGCGTACCAAAGGCGTCCCGACGTTTATGTCCGCTACGTTGCCTGCGTTGGCTACGCCGCCCGCCTACGAATGCACCGCAAAGACTTCAGTCGACGAGTGGCAATAACTGTCCTTACCAGCACGCAGCGGTAGTGTGTATTCGTCATTCAAAAGAGGCAACAGCCAATCAGAGTGATGTCTTTGGCCGACTTTCTTTGGCCGATTCAACATGTTGAACATGTTGAATCGGCCGCGGGAGGTATGAAAATGTGCCGTAAAGCAACGACGGTGCGGGACCCACCAACCTGAGTAGGGCGCCGCAAATGCCCGACTGCCTCTGACGGCCTCTGACTCCCAAAGTCGGGTAGGTGTCTGGGCCTTTCGGCCTTGTTAGGAATGGCTCACTTTATGCTGCGTTTCCATTACAGTTTAGTAGCTGGGGCAGTAACTATAGTAACTCGGTGTAGGCGGAGCCGTGATGTCATCTTCAATGAGAACCACAGAAAAACAACATCAGCCGTTAGCTGTTAGCACTCAAGCTCACAGCTCCTCATATCTGTTCAGAAGCTTGACAAAAGTTAAACAAGTACAAACCACAGACTGTCGGTGTCATGGTGAATACAGTCGCTGGTTTATTTATGTCTGTATAGGCCGTTGTGAGTGTGGACGGTCGGAGCATACACTGCGTTAGCTTAGCCGACCTCCTTTTAGAAAACACGCATTTTAAAAGTTTTTTTTGCCTGCCGTCTTGTCTGCAGACATGTCAAAGCATTAATTCATGGTTTTTACTAATCGGTATCAGTATGTTGTTACTTCGGCATCATTTTGAAACGTATTACAATTAAATCACGGTCAAATAATTTCATTTTGTTGTAGTCCCCTTGCCAGCGATTCTCTCTTTAGTTTAGCATACTCAGCCAGACTCAGCCTGGTTGTTGGCCCGGAAAGAACCTCTATTTTATGGGGCGAGAAAAACTGTGAAATAGTACCCGCTAGCCGGAACTACGCCAAGTGGAAACGCAACCAAAAACGTGCCAGGCAAGGCACGGCACGCCTTAAAGTGAGCTCCGCGCTGTAGTGGAATGCGCCATAAAGTGCACCAGAACTGATGATTTCAATTTAACCTTCAACATTTAATAAAAAGAATTTTCCGGGGAAGCAATGCCCTGACTCCCCTTAAGAAGGAAGTTAAGTCGCACCCTCCCCACTTAAATCAGTTCACATGCAGGTACGTGCACAGACATTTGAGGGGCTACTGCTCTAAACTGGAAAAAAGGACCTCCCCCCACCCCGAAAAAAAGAACTTTGAAAATTCTACTTGTTTTTTTTTTTAATGTAAAAGGTTAAATAAAACCAAAACACAACACTTGTCATTGCCAAGTGACACTTTAAATTGTCACTGCTAAAATTCGTTATATTCAGGCACATTTTTTGTTTTTGCGGTCCATATCTCATTAAAATATCTAATGTTATAATATTAAAGACAAAATGGGAACAATCCGGTTTTTAATGTTAGTTTGNACTAGTCGTGAAAAAAATTGAGGTAAACGAGGTGCTGCAAAATGCTCCAAAACACGTCCGACATTCTTATGTATGGCAGTACTTCAACGAAGATGTAACCAACTCCACAGTGAAGTGTCAGTTGTGTACAGCTGTACTGAAGTACAATACAAATGCATCTGCTATGCGCAACCATCTGAAGATGAAACACCCGCTGCCGACAGCTAGCACTAGCAGTAATGCTAGCACCAGTGAGCAACGGACCGGCGTCAGCACTGAACAGAGGCAAACGAACAGCAAGAAAACACGGGTCAACAGTGATGCGGATGATGAGCTACGGGATTACTGCCAGCGGACACCGCATATCCCCAAAATGGATAATCCACTGGAGTGGTGGGCAGAAAACGTGCACCGCTTCCCCCGCTTTCAAGGAGCGACCTGGCTATTCCAGCCACAAGCACCCCGAGTGAGAGGGTTTTTGCCCTGGCAGGCAACACTGTCACCCGAAAGCGGTCAAGCCTCCTTCCCTCACATGTCGATGCGTTGGTGTTCAAACCAAACCAAAAATATGGAAAGGTGGACGTTATCGTGGAGGACAGCGAATAAAGTGTTGCGCACTGGATTTACGTGGCATTTATGTAAACAAGAGTTTTTTGCTGTGGATTTTGGTGAGTCCAGTTACTGTTTATTATTTACTCAGCCTTGTAACACAAATTAAAATGCAGTGTTTAATGTTACTGTATGAGTTCCAATATAAAATACAGTTGTACACCTCTCTTTGTGTGTCTTTATTATGACGTAACGACTAGTCGACTAGTCGACTGCTATTTTGAAAAACGTGTCGACTTGTAAATATTGGTAGTTGTGAAACCCCTAATCTGTATATAATAAACAACAATTCATTAACAAAGGCATAATATGGATGGATTTAATGTTCAAAAATAGTGAGATTGAGTTTTTGCTAAACTCGGCGCTTCCTGGATACTGTAGTCCACCGGTCTCACTTGTTGTTTATAAATGTATACATTCTAATAACAGTTAGCTGATGTATTTCTGAGTCCTCACAGGTTCCAACATCCAGGCAGGACACGTCAGAATGTTTTTTAAGGAGTGTTCGGACAGTTTGGACGTTCAGAGGTAGTCGTCCTCGCTGGACTCCTCTTCCTCGGGGGGTCTGTACAGGTGATAGTGGCTGGGGCCCTCCCTGGGGTCCTCGCTGCTGGAAGACGAACTGTCCTCTGTGAGCTTGGACTCTGCCGAGCTGACAGAAGGACTGCGGCTCATCCTCCACAGCTGATGGGCAAAGGTCCGCCCCCAGCTGCAGTGCTGGCCAATAGGGCGCAGGAGCCGGACGAGCTCGGCGGCTTCCTGCCAGTAAGAAGTTCACTTGCTGTGGCCCCGCCCCGGGCGCTGCCGGTTCATGGTGGTCAGCATCTGACTGATGTAGGAGGTCAGCAGGTCGTCCATCTTGTAGCCCTGCAGGGGAAAGGAAAACACAAACACGTCACACATCTCTTGAAGGCGCACAGCGCGACGTTTCAGAACAGTTTAATTCAGTTTTGAAACTAGGTCTGGGCAAGTTAACTCGTTAATATCGCGTTAACGCCTTTATTAATAACGCCGACAATTATTTTATAGTTTTTTTGTATTAATATTATAATTTTGAAAGTCCGTACAGACAAACCATGGTCACAGGAGTGGGGGATGTTGATCAGTATTGGCTTAGTAGTGTAGTACATGTAGTCCCCACATGCTTCAAACACTCCACCATCGTTCCTGTCCCCAAAAAGTCTAAAATCCCCAGCCTCAACGACTACCGCCCAGTAGCACTCACCTCCATCATCATGAAGTGCTTTGAGCGGTTAGTCAAGACCTTCACCACCTCCTCCCTCCCTGCCTCCTGGACCCCCTGCAGTTTGCCTACAGAGCAAACAGGTCCACAGACGACGCCATAAACCCCCCCCTCTCCACACTGCCCTCTCACACCTGGACCAGAAGAACACACATGTGAGAATGCTGTTCATTGATTACAGTTCAGCATTCAATACCATTGTTCCCTCCAAGCTGGTCATCAAGCTCAGGGACCTCGGGCCCAACAGCGCCCTCTGTGACTGGATCCTGAACTTCCTGACGGGCAGACCCCAGGCAGTGCGGGTGGGAAACATCACATCCTCCACCATGATCCTCAACACCCGAGCCCCTCAAGGCTGCGTGCTCAGCCCTCTCCTCTACTCCCTGTTCACACATGACTGCG